TGAGTGGAGTACACATAAATCATCCACTTTAAAAAACTGTGTAGTATAATAATATCCCGGCGAATTCGCCATTTTTGCCAATGTTATCGTGGCAGCTGTATTATTATTAAATAATAATACAGCTGCCACGATAACATTGGCAAAAATAAATTTTATTATTAATTTTAAATTTTATTTTTCATTGTAGCAGTAGAAATATTGTATAGGTGTATCTGATGTTTTGTTTTATTTTAAGTTGCGGACCGATTTCAGCTTAGTCCATCTTCAGGAGACTACGTTAATTTACAATACACAATTTATTTAGAAATAGTTATTAAAATTAACTTATTAGTGCGAGATTTAATATTAAATGTCATGATTAAATGTACAAAATTATTCTAACAAGTTGATTTCAATAACTATTTCTAAATGAATTCAACCAATCGTACTATAATATATATAGGGTGGTTCCTATTCGGTTTCAAAATATATTTAAAAAACTCTCAAAGGTTTCAGCTCTTCAAATTAATTTTAACCTAGCCCCCACGGCTGTCAAAGTTTTGAATGAAAAAACACATGTATTATAAATTCAAACTTTGAAAATGTATAACTTTGTGTATAACTGATGAAAAGATTAAAAATTTGGCACAAATGTAGCTACTTACCTATATGATGTATATTAGAAAAATATTTTTCTTACTTCCAAGTAATACCAAGTAGTACGTAACATTTGTTTATTCAGAGAAATGATACATGTACGCTGCAGCGTCATGAATATAAATAAAAATAAGGAAAAAATTATGTTTTGCTGTATAAGAAAGGACAGCCTGTGAATGGTTTGTTCGTTTCGTTCTGAAATTTTTGATGTCAAAGATCACCAATAATCATGGAAGCGTACACATGGGTGAGAAAGTAAACATTTATAACAAACAGATTTAAACCATTTTTGGTACCACATGATATTAGTGAAAATAATGGGTCAAATATAGATCTTACAACTTGCACCTTGATTCAGTCTCTGCAAAACTATTAATGGTGTAAAATTGCTTTCAAAAAGCATGTAAAGAGTACCTAATATTAAAAGAAAGACATTTTTTGGTAACATAAATGTTTACATGTAACTCCTCAATGAATTTAAAGGGCATATAAGCATATCTTATCTTATATATGTTTTAGAAATATAAAAATAAAATGGTGACTTCAATATTTTTATATATCTTATTTAAAAAAACTGGACGACTACAAACTATATTTTCTAAATATATTATAAATTCTAACAATGATAATATGCATAGTTCATAACCAAGTTTCTTCTTTTTCAATTTTTATTTTTCTGCTATTTAGTCAAATTAATTAATTTATTATTATTATAATGCCTTAATAATCACAAGTGATACCGTGCCGGCGTTGCCAAATATCGAAGGTCAAAGGTGACAAAAAACAGTTTTTCTCGATTAACTAGGAAATATTGATTTTACAAAAATTTTGGTGGTGATAAAATTTGTTCCTCTGGTAAATCTGCATAAAAATAGCCTTTTTATAAATTTACGTAGGACAAGTAAATTTCGAGATAATAGAGAAAAACATTGACTTCGATATTTGGCAAAGCGCGCCGTCAAGATTTTGCTTAGGCCCAGGTAGCACACTGACGTTTGCTGACGTTTAACTGATGTTAGCAACGTCACTTACTATTGTGTTTGTAGACATGTGCAAAGATATTATCTTTGGACATGTGTACAAAAACAAAGATACATTTACTTTTGTTATTCCTAGATAATTAGATAGTTGAATTAAAATTCATGTAAATGACAAACGACAAGAAACTTGGGTAGATTTTGATAAATAACAAGCAGTTTTAATTTATTGCTCCGCTAGATAAAAAAAATAATTAAAAGTTGCAAAAATAAATAAATTTCAACTAATGCAAAAACTTAGTAGTAATTGGTATTTAGAAGGGTATACTTATTTTTTTTATTTTTAATGTTAACTTTAAATTGCTGAATAATATCTTCAAGAAATATGTAACGAATTTAGTTTAAAGAACATAATATAAAATTACAGTAATTTACTTCTTACATGAAATTTTTATAGAAAAAATACTCGTAATAAAAATATATAATAAAAACAGTTTAAATTAATTTATAAACAAAAGAATCTTAAATGAAAACCTTATATAACTGTATTAAAAAAAAATATTTATAAAAAAAATTTGAATGGATAAAACAATTTTCAATAAATGAAAAAAAAATGTTTTTTTCTATGCAAGGGTGGTTTTGTTATAATATATTATATAAGAATTATGTTGAATTTTAGGAAATGGAACATTAAAAACATTTTATGAAATATTAAAATTATTCGGAAATGTGAACAAACTATGAGTATGAGTATAAGAGACGTATAACCGGCCCCATTGCCTCATCGCTCCCGGGCCCCGCTCATGCCTCTGTTTCCTTACGCCGATATTTTTTCGCCACCAGCTTCGGCTTCACCCGTGTTTGATGGCTGCGAATGTTCATTGCGTCCCCATTTAGTGGCCCGAGAGCGAAATGCCAATAGTTTAAATAGCCTTTCCCGGATTCGCCGGGCCGTTGCTATACGCCCAGTAGAGCCATGAAGGAGGTAGGACGGGAGCGATAGACATTTTGGTGTTTGGAGGACAGTTACGCGGACTCTCCACTAGACCAGGCAGTTGGTATTACTTAAAAAATTTGGGATTGCTGTTTGGAGTTGGGGAGTTGTTATTTTGCTGCAGGGGCCTAATTTGCTAGTCGTGGTCTACGTTTTGGTCGATATTGTCTGTGTCCGTGTCCAAGTCGGATTGTTCCTGCACTTGGTTTAGTAATTCAGTTGTTTTCCTTATCTTCTTCTTGTTGGTGCTTAGTTGCTCCCAACTGTTCTTGTTAATTTGTGAGAAGTGAATTCTGTGCTAACGTGTCGTGAAACGTGAAGCATGGTCTCTCGACTTTTTTGTCTAGAAGGTCTTGTTTTAGGTTGGCTTGTAGTGTGTTGTTCCGGTTCCTACGGGTGACTGGTCCCAGGGTCCCAGAATTTTAGTTGGGCCACCCCTACCCGTTCGGTGATGCGATTAGGCAGTTACCGGTAAGGGGTATTTTTTGACTTTTAGTATATATTCTAATGTGTTTCCATAAGAATGTTTAGAATTTTCTGGTTGTCCTCTTTTGTTTGCCTCGTGAAAAGCGGTAAGACCGCCCGGAAGCTGTCACTTATCACTTAACACTTTCTTGACCGTAGGGTAGTCTCTACTCACTGTAGTTGTTACACTATAGTCTATTTGCACTTTATGAGTAATTATTTGTGGGTTTTGGCTTTTATTTTTTAAGAGATCGCGATGCGTTACGATACGTCTTGCTTTGTCAAGTGTTAGAACGTGACGGAAATATGAACAAACTATTTAAAAAACTAAATTTCTTTCAAAAAACAATTCCAATAGGTTTTTTAGTATATATATATATTTAGTTTATTTCTCGATAATTTTATGCAATATTACGTAGGTGTAAAATATAAAAATGAACTTACCGAAATAATACATAATTATAAACTAAAAATAAAATATTAATTTTAATATAGCTTCCCTAGAATTTTTGTAAAAAATAACATTACAATTATGTTAAAAAATGTTATTCATTATAAAACATTTATCCAGGGGACATTTTATGATTATACCACGCGATATTTTAACTATGAAAAATACAATTTTTTTGCTTCGTTTTCGGGTTAATTTATTTTGTTCCCATAACAACCGTTTTTAGATATGTGATTCTCGAAAAAAACTCGGCAACACTTTGTTAAGTTTAAATTTAAACTTAATTAATTATTAATTTGATGATCGGCATAGAAAAAGAATACCCAGACAGCATAATATATATAATATATCTTAAATATGTCTTTTTAGGGATGTTTCAAAAATATCTGATTAAGACGTCTTTAAGATGACTTTTAAGTATCGGTGCGACACTTTCAATAAGTTTGTAAGGTTCAATTGTTAATAAATATCTCTCGTTTTTATTAGGGTAAAACCGTTTCTTAAAAGATGAAATTGAATACGATTTCTTTATTGATTCTCGGCCTTTGACAGGTCAACTTAATATCTGATAAGCACCCGGGTGCCCAGGCATTGCCAGTATAGTTGAGCAAGCCCCTAACCTTCGTCAATATATAAAAATTAATTTAATATACATATATTAAATTAAATATTGAAAATTAACGGATGTTAGGGGCTTGCTCTACTCCAGTTGCTGGTGGTCCGAGGGATATTTAAATAATTAAAGATAACACAATTGCTAACAAATCGTTTGCATAAAGAACGTCACGCGCGTCCAACATGGCCAGTTAGGCTAAAGAGAAGCCGAAAATGTTTTCAGAAAAGCGTTTTTAAGGCGTAACAAACGATATCTTTAAGATGCAAATACGGCGAAAACCGATGTCGAGTTACGACATCTTTAAAATGTCTTTGTGCTGTCTGGGTAAAAAATAGATGATTAGCTAGCCGTTACTGAGCAGATCCTCTCTAAACGATAAATGTATGAACATGTTTAGCTGTGTCATTACAGAAGCGCACATCCAACTAAACATTGGACCTTTCCATCTCAAATCGACCTTTCAAAAAGGGGTAGGTCGTTATTTTTTAACGAAATTTTACAATTTCTCTACCGGAATCAATGAGACCCGTAATGTTTCTTTTTGCTTAAATTTTTTTTGTTCACCGTAGGAAAATTTTAACCTGGTCGATTTGAGATGGAAAGGCCCTATTTCTATTTATAGTAAGCTCGCTTGCGTAAGCAGCCATGAGATGTATTTGGTTAGTAGCTCGCCAAACGGTAACCGGGGTAACATAACGCGGCGATACTCGGTCCGGCTGGGGGCAAGCCGAACCGCCGGTCAACCGCCTATGCCGAGCGGTGGCCGACTCTTTGCCAAATGTATTTGATGCTTACTGGGAAGCAATTTTTCCTAATTATTTTTATCAGCACCTTACTTTAATGGCATTTAATTATTTTCAGGGTAAAACTGTTCGAGTGCTCAGCTAAAGATGATATTAACATTAAGGAGATATTCCGTTCGTATTTGACGTTGGCGAAGATATATCCGCCAAACTTGGAGGACCCGACTGGTCTAAAGCGCCAAAGCAGCGCCTACGTGTCGGCCACCAAGGGGCGGCGACGGCTCGGCAACAGCGCCGTGGAAAAAATGAAACCAACTGCAGGGTCATCCGAAGAGACTGAAAGTAGTTCAATTAAACCGCGGTCCAGATCTTTGATTCGCAGGGCAAGCAAGAAGACCAAACAGCAGATGCGCAACGCGAACGACACCGACAAATGTCAGATCTCTTAAATTAATTAATATTATCAATCTATTTTTTTATTTGATGTTTTTGTTTTTCAGATGTCTGTATGTGCCATTTTATTGTTAATAATAAACGTACCAATATTAGATCTATTCCATTCTATACCTAACTTTGTCAATATGAACTAGGCCTAGGTATTTAAAACTACAAAATCTTTTACAAATTTAAATTTAATAAATAAATTTGTTGGTGGTTTCTAAAGATTTAAGGACTTTGCTGCAAGAAGGATATGAGTATCTGTCAATTTTGCCTATTTTTAATTGCAAAAAATCAATATCTGTTTGTTCTTAAATCTATCATATATCTATCTATCTTCTTCTATCTATATACAAATAAATCACCGTGCGTTAGTCCTGCAAAAACTCTAAAATAGCTCAACCAATTTAAATTTTTTTTGTTCGCCTCAATACTGGGTTATTTAAATAAAAACCGAAAGGACCAGCGGAAAAATCAAAAAAATAAAAATTCGTACAACTTTGAATTAATTTGAATAGATGGTGTTCGTAGCTGCGCTTAAAATTAAATAACTATTAAACTCGGAAATGGCTCAACCGATTTAATATTTTTTTGTTTGTTCGCCTCAATACAGGGGTTATTTAAATAAAAATACATTAGTAAAAATAATCCTCTTAAGTTTATAAAACAAATTGCATACCATATATACTTTATCTATAGATGTATACAACAATCGTAAAGTAGGTATTGTTTTTTCAGAATTTAAAGTCAATTTTATTTGACATTTTATCCCAAACAGCACTTTTGGTTCCAAAAACCATTACCAAAATTGTGATAACTTTAAATTAGTTAAGTATACTAAACAGCTACTTTAATTTTTACTTAAAACTTTTAAGTTAAAAGTAATTCTAACTTTTAAATAGCAATATTTTGTAACAGAAACTTCATTCTTCTCTCATTTAAGTAAATCTTGGTTGTCGCCAAGAAGACTTTGCAATTTTAAAAAAGGTGTTATAAGTAAAAAAAACTTTCAAGTAAATTTAATTTTTAGCAGTTACTTTCGATTGCTACCTAAAGATTACATTATAATTATTTTTACTTTGTAGTAACCTAAGTTTTATAAACATTATTTACAAGTTTAATTATGCACGAGCGTGGCTTCCGGAGCGAGTTTTTAATAATTGTTATATACCTAATACTTTATCTACAACAATCGTAAAGTAGGTAGGTATTGTTTTTTCAGAATTTAAAGTCAATTTTATTTGACATTTTATCCCAAGCAGCATTTTTGGTTCCAAAAACCATTACCAAAAATGTGATAACTTTAAATCGGTTGTGTGTTTTATGTGCTCCGATAAATGCAGATCAATATTGTATTTAAATTGTGATTTATTATCAAAGATTCTTAATTATTTGTAAATAGTGTATAGACAATGACTATTAGTGTTTTCTTTTGTGTTTATGTGATGTGAAAATGGATTTATCTAGTTAAAACAAATTTTAATATTGCATTAACGAACATTTAGAACAAATAAAAAGTGTAATGTAAAAACTCTCAACATAAAAAACTTTATATAAAACGAAAATAAAAATGTCGCGACCGGGAATTGAACTCGAGTCGCCGTCGTCGGTGCGAGGTCTGTTTGGTGCAAAATCAAAATCAAAATCAAAATCAATATATTTCTAAATTAAAATAATTACAAGTCATAAAAAGGGTATATAATAAAAGGCCGCAATGTGGTGATGTGGTTGGCTGTAAAGAGGCGCGTGGAAGTGTGGTTCCAGCTCTTGAGCCTCCCTGCGGTGAAGATGCGTGGTACGGGTGGTAGCAGCGCAGTCTTCCGACGGTCTTTGTCCCTTGTATTAGCCCTTTTTATTAGCATGGAGCTTGTCTGGCCTTTTCTCGCAGAGCGAATGTGACGCCAGCTTGATCCGGGTAGAAGAATAAAGTCTAGAAAAATTTACGGAAAAAAGAGTGGTGATGTTAAAAAGTTAAAAGAATGTTTGGTGCTTTGGCGCCCAGGGCTGTGCTGTCACTATGACTAAAACGGATTTAACAAGTAAACAATGCGGAAGATGCAAATCAATACCAAAGGAATTTCTTAAATGTATCATCTGCGAATCAGTTATGCACCTAAGTTGTGCTAATTTAAGCAAAAAAGTAAAAGTTATCAACGAAAACGATATGAATTGCTGTGAAGGTACTAAGGAGAGTACTCAAGAATGTTCACAAGATATTGAACCAACTGTACTATCCGAGGATCCTCTAGTGGTTGAAATCTACTATTTAAAAGAGATTTTAAAACACAAAGATGAATTAATTAATAGCCAAAAATTAACAATAAATTCACTAAAAGAGCAAATTAATTTAGTAAATAATACAAATTTAACTAAAAAAGCTACTGAAAGTCAACAAAACAACAAAAATCCACAAAATAAAAAAAGTGTAGAAAATAAAATTGTTAATTCCAAAGCACAGGAAACAAAAGCTTCCACTTTAAATAAACCAATTGTCCCAAAAACAGTCTCTTCCGCTATACTGGAAGCAAAAAGTAAAGCCATATGTGAGCAAATAATTAATTTAACCAAGGATGATGTAAATTCTAAGTCAGAAAACATTCAAGGAGGAAAATGGGCAGATGTTGTTAAAAAGAACAAACCAAAAACGAATAAAACTGAAATCATAGGAAATCTAAAAAATTCCACATTATGCTCTCTCAAAGTTGTTCCAAAAAAGGCATTTGTCTATGTTTCCAGACTGCAACCGGAAACAAAAATAACAGATATTGAAAGCTACCTAAAGGAAAGTTTTCCAGAAATAGTCTGCAGTTCAGTAACATCCAAATATCCACAGCATTATGTGTCATTTAAGTTAACCGTAAATCTGGGTAATTATGAGAAGGTCATGCGTCCAGAGCTCTGGCCAGAGGAAACCTATGTAACCAGGTTTTTTCATCCGCGAGTGAAGAACCAGCCAGCCACCTAAAGAAAATTTGTCTTCAAGGCAACCAAAACCATGATCTTAAATCAAATAATTGTGTTAAAATATTCTATTTAAATATTCAAAGCTTAAATAACAAAATTTCAATGAAATTACTTACTCAAATATACAAGGTTACACCTTGCTTAGTCATTTTTCTAGGTCTAAACACATGCATGGCGGTGTATGTATCTACTCAGCTGATCATATAAGCCAATTTTGTAGACCAATAAAAATTTTGTATGACTATTCTAATGAAATTAACCATGAGTTCTGTGGGCTGGAGTGCGACTTGTTAAATTTGATTATAATTGTTATCTATAGATCTCCTGATGGTGATTTTAGTGCTTTTCTGGATGCAATGAATACTATACTTAGCAAGTTTCAATATTCCGAACGTTTAATTTTTTTTGTTGGTGACTTTAATATACATTTTAATAAAAATAGTACGAGTAAGAAAGAATTTATAGATTTAATAACCTCATACAATTTTTCAACCATAATTAAAAATAACACAAATGCCTACAATTGTGTCGATAACATCTTGACTACAATAGCGGAAGAATATTTGTCATCTGATATTGTAGAATTAAATTTATCGGATCATTATGCACTTACTCTAAAGTTTAATCTCCAACATGAGACTAAAATAACTTCACAAAAAACTGTGAGACCTATTACTCAAGTAGGCCTCTTTAAACTATATAGTCATATAGAACAAGTAAATTGGAGCTTTATTTCAGAACCATCTATTTGCATCGAAGATAGATTTAAATACTTTCTGGATCTACTCTCAAATGCGATAGATTTACACCTACCAACAAAGATAATTAAATGCACCAGTAAGTCAAACCCTAGAGCACCTTGGTTTAGTCAACATTTAAAAAACATGCGCTCTAACTTAAACATGATGATCGATATACAAAAATCCTCAGACAATACACACTTACTTGATAATATTAAAAGATATAAATTTCACTACAGAAAAGAGTTAAACTTGGCCAAGAAACTATCAAATGACACTTTAATAAAAAAATCAACTAATGCTTGCCAAGCAAGTTGGAAAATTATAAACAAAAACCGACCCAAACAAACCACAAATAACTATTGTAACTTATCCCCAGATGATTTTAATAGTTATTTTGCTAATGTTCCCCATAATATAGTAAATTCCTTAAATAATCCCACTAATACACACGAATACTATGAGAGCTTTCTTGGAAATATTACTAGTCCCAAATTTAAGTTTTCTGAATTTACTTTTATTGAGATAAGAGACATTATTCAAAACTTAAATAATTCTACAAGTCTTGATTTTTACCACTTAAATTCTAAAATTCTTAAAACACTATTAAATTTAATTATTGTTCCTTTAACGAAACTTTAACACTTGCGTGACAAAAGCTACTTTCCCATCATGCTTAAAAATATCACGGGTGTTACCTATACACAAAAAAGGCTGTCATAATAACCCTGGTAACTATAGACCAATATCTATAACCCCTATAATAAGTAAAGTCATAGAAAAAGGCCTTAAAAAACAACTTGTTGAATATTTTGAATTTAATAAATTATTTAATGACTGCCAATATGGATTTAGACCGGGAATGGCAATCAATAATTTATTAAAGTTCATATACGAATCGTTTGAGAGCCTTAGCTATACTGGAGTTATGTTTTGTGACATATCCAAAGCTTTTGATTGTGCTTCCATTGATGTTCTTATGACAAAACTTGGTAGGTATAATTTTGGCAAAGGTGCCTGTTCCTTGTTGCGCTCATACATGACTAATAGACATCAATATGTAATATTCAACAACAAACCTTCAACGTTATTACCTATTAATATGGGAGTGCCGCAGGGATCAGTCCTTGGTCCTCTGATATTTTTAATATATATAAATGACCTACCAAAATGTACTTCGCAGGCTAACTTTGTCCTTTTTGCCGACGATACTACTGTCGCAATTTCTCACCGAGATATTAATACCGTAAAAACATCAATGGAAGAGGCCAAAGCTACTGTCAATGACTGGTTTCTTTCTAACTCTTTGTGTCTTAATAATGAAAAAACCACTACAGCCTTTTTTTCACTAAAAACTGGAGAACACTTGGATGTTTCTAGTGCCAAATTCCTAGGTGTTTATCTGGACAACAAGTTGTTGTGGGAGGAGCACACGGATAATGTTGCACATGATATGTCAAGGGGGCTCTACGTTTTACGCAACCTTAAATATATTGTAACCCAATCGGTATTATTAACTGCATATCATGCATTAGTACATGCTAAAATGTCATATGCTATTCTAGTATGGGGACACGCTGCCACGGCTTCCCGTGTTTTTAAAATTCAGAGAAAAGCTATTCGCATTGTAGACAATATTAAATACAGAGAGGATGTTCGATCTTCATTTATAAAATTAAGGGTGTTGACTTTTCCATGCGCTTATATATATAATTGCCTACTACATATAAAAAAAAACATATCGGACTATTCGGCACGTAATCAAATGCATTGTTTTAACACGCGGTACAATGATAATTTACATATACCATTTCATAGAATAAAACGAACCAAAAATTCTACGTCTTATTGGGGACCTGTTTTATACAATAAGTTACCAAAGCATACTATTAAAGAAATGCCCTTAAAATCATATAGTAAAGTTATAAAATTATATCTAATCGAAAAAGCATTTTACACCTTACAGGAGTTTCTAGAAAATGATTTCTAATAAATTTTATATCTATGTTCTATTCTGTATACATTTTACCTGGTTGTATTGCAAATTGTTATAAGTTTTTATTATTGTATTATTTTTACTTATTCTGTAATGGAAAATTGTAAAAGTTTTATCTAGGTATATATATTTTTTTTGACGAATGTAAATACAAATTGTATGCTAACATGAATAAAGTATTATTATTATTATTATTATTATTATTATTATTATTATTAAATTAGTTAGGTATACTAAACAGCTACTTTAATTTTTACTTAAAAGTAATTTTAACTTTTAAATAGCAATATTTTGTAACAGAAACTTTATTCTTTCCTTAAATGGTTACTATAAAGTAATAAACATTTAAGTAAAACTTGGTTGCCCCCAAAAAGACTTTGCAATTTTAAAAAAGGTGTTATAAGTAAAAAAAACTCAAGTAAATTTAATTTGTAGCAGTTACTTTCGATTGCTACCTAAAGATTACATTATTATTAGCGAAGTAAAATTTCGCCTACCGGTTAAATGAAATGGGAGTTGAATAAAATATATTTCCAAACAGTTTTTAGCAATTCAAAAATGAAACAACATATTAAAAATAAACATTTATTAGGTATTTAAGAAAACTATTTTAATACATATCTACCACTAGTGGGCGAAATAACATTTCGCCCACCGGTTAAATGAAATGGGAGTTGAATAAAATATATTTCCAAACAGTTTTTAGCAATTCAAAAATGAAACAACATATTAAAAATAAACATTTATTAGGTATTCAACCAAACTATTTTAATACATATTTAAATTAAAAGCATTAGTTCATGTAAATAAAATTAAATCTAAAACTATAAACCTACAAATTAAAGCAATCACAATAATAATAAATGTATTTCATCCTTATAATTTAATATTTACACTTAATTACCACATACTAACATGCATAATGTTTTGGTATAATTATACATTTAGTATCACAAATAATTGATAAATTTAAATTTAAAAAATGAACAACCTAAATATTTTTTATAAATGAATAGATTCTAATCCCCTTCCTAAACCAGCCCAATGATCAGGTACTTCTAAGAAATACTTATGCATTGCTTCTATAAATCGTTTTTGGTATTCTTCTGGAGAAATTATCGTAGGTAATTTACCTTGTCCACCCAAAATTCCTGTCTTTTTTACCATTGTCTCGATCTTTTTGTCCCACGTAAAAGTTCTTATATAATCTAGAACATAAACATAAATATTTGTATAATACCCATTAAGGTTTCTTTTTCAAGCTGAGAACTAATAAAACTATTCAGCTCTCAATACATTTAGCTTCTAAAAAAGCAAAACTACTTATGTTGCTTCAGAAACATTATACAACATTATGTATAATTAAAATTATTATTCGTATTTCAATAGATATACATTTTTCTTACCTATTATTCCCAATACAAGCTCTTTTTTCTCAGTATCTAAGCCCACAAGTAAAGAATAGTCCATAACGGACTGGGTTGATAAGAATTCAGTATCATTTTGTATTGTAGCTATTAATACTGATTTTGAATGAGGTAGAATGTATAATGGATTATCACAAGTCACTAAAAATATTAATTAACAAATTTTAGGGCGCGTTTCACTAAATATGTTTAATAAAGTATATGTACCACCTATACCTAGAGGTGAAAATATAAAAGAAATAAATGTTTTTTAATGCTTGATGCTTACTTTTTAATAAATTTTCATCCAACAAAACAATTTCCCCCTCCTGGTTCTCTGGATGTACCAACCTATTTCTCATGGAACCTTTCAAGTCAAATTTCTGAGATACCGTCCGGTTGTAGAATAAATTCTCCATGACCAATAAGTTAGTACGCAGGGTAATGTTGCTGTTATTCTTAAATATAATTTGGTAAATACCGACAATTTTCCCAAGTAATGTTGGCTGACCAGCAGTGTAACACCGTTGCATGTACGCAAAGTAGTTTGAAGCCGATTCCAGGAATAATTGAACTTCATTTTTGGACATTTCTTTTAGAATAAAACGATCATCTACAACAAGAAATAGTATTTTATGCAACGACCTTTTAAAGCAAATGTCATAATGAGTACGAATGTCTTAATAACCCAGTAAATGGGAGTTGCATACACTATTTTTTCTACGACTATCATAATAAAGTACACAATTAACTTCACAGCAAACGGAAAATTATAGAAGTGTATAGGATGACTCCGCGTTTGAATATCAAATCTTAAAGTTTTATCATAACTGTATTGAATCGTGCTTTGTTTTTATATTTTTCGGCTCTATACCTATGCACGACTATATTTAAAGTCAAACTCAATGGTGTCTTACAAGATACATTATTTTGATTTTCTATATTCAACAGAGAGGTAGAAACTCGACCCTGTCGAATGGTGCAGTCATTTATGTCTCTAGAAATTATGAAAAAAGGGTTCAGTCCAATGGTGCAGCAACTTCGGATTCCTATTCTCCTCAGAGACATAGAAACTCAAGCTTTTCGAATTTTACTGGCAATGATTTTCGTTAATGTCCCCGAGAATTATACAAAAACAGCGCAAGGCAATATCGCAACGGTTTCGACTTCTCTTTACTCTACCAAGTTATAGAAACTGGAGTCTCTCTAATACTGTTCTAGTCAATATTTCTGAGAGCATAAAAAGAGGGTGTAATATTGCAAGAAGTTTGATCTTTTGATGGATGCAAGTAGGTAGTTTGAATTTTCTCATTTCTGCATATGATTTTGTTGAAAATAGTTCTTTGGTTCCTTTGTCTGATTTTTATTTACAACTCAGGTATGTAAAGCACAGAGGATATGATGTTAAGTATATTTATGTATTATATAAAGTACCTATATTTGTATTAAAAATTTCAGAGGTTATGTTGAAAAAATGATCGATATGCTATTAAACTTTAATAATTTAGTAATTAGGTCTGTTGGTAGACCCTGCACTATCTCCACTGGTATATGTTAATTTTGTAATATTTAAATCTGGTTGATGAAAAAGTACACACCAGTGCAGGTTATTGTAGCATCTACGAACAAATGAATTAATGGCCCATTGGCAATTATTCCTTTAGAAAAAATATTCAACACAGCTTAATTAATTAATAAAATGAAAAAAATCACAATCATGTCGTATATAGTTTTTTTTAAGCATAAAATAATTTTTATATTAATAGTATTAATTTAATACTAGTTCAAAAGTGAAATTACGACCTCTATACTGTGGAGAGTATTGAAACGCTCGACTGACGAATACAACTCTATACCGTGGGGAGATTTAGAAAACCATATTCAAACGTGGCGTCATCCTATACACCTCTATAATTTTCCGTTTGCTGTGTTTAAAACAACACTTAAGTAATTACTTGGCTAAATTGATAAATATTAGATCTGTCAGATATCCAAGGCAATAGTTGATATTTACAGAATATTGCCGTGTATCGCATTTCTATTGGTTTAAAATCTGTATCATAATGGAGCTCAGGTAGGTAATGTCTTGTAAACGAATTATGGGAATGGAAAATAGTATATTATGTATCAATTTTTATAGACTAAAAGCCTGTTGCTAACTTCATCCTGTGACTAAAACGCCATAAAGCCACAACTTAAGTTGTGGTGACAATTGTCAATGTGTATTTAAATAGTTTTAAAGGTGGGAGTAGAAAAAAGTATTTTATTAGGCATTAGACGCTTTAGAGATAAGACGTCCCTTATAAATAGACGTTTTATTACGATTTAAAGGTATATTTTACGTAATTGTGATTTGGAAAGAAAAAATTAAGACCGAAATCTGATCAGCGAAAAAAAGCGGTTTAAAGTGATTATATCCATACATATCTGTATTTATGTCAGCTAATTGAAAAGTTGTAACATTAGTGTACCTGTTGTTTTGGAAAAATTAGATCCAGATTTTCCTCCTCTAGCATTCCACTGCACGGATCTTGACAGTGATCTTATGTAAGCCTCCTCGCCAATAGGAAGTACCATCGATCTTAAAGCAGCAAATTTTTCCGCCAAGTAAATTCGACAGAAAAAATTACAGTTGGAATCCTGGAACTGGACTTCAATGTTAGTATTTTTACTCTTTTTAACATCTTCATTTTTATCCAATACAGCAGCTGGTGGATCTCCAGATTGACTTAAAAAAAATAATTAAAACAATTTTTTGCTTTACTTTTGTACTTACTTTGAAGAGGTGGAGGTGGTTAGAACATTTTGCTCCTTGGACCTTAAAAATCCCAAAAGTCCTGAAGATTTATCGTCACCATCTTTGGCAGTATCCTTTTCAGCAGTTCCCCTCCTTTTATTAAGAGGACTAGAAGTTAGTTCTGAAACGGACGGTTTTTTATACTCGTCAAACGATTTTTTATATTCAAAAGAATTCAAAGCATAGGCTACAATGGAACTTGGTTCATTCTCATAGACTATTATGGGTCCATTAACTCCTAAGGGTAGGTTGTAATGTTCCTGAGTACTAAATGGAACCTAAAAGGTATTATTTTTAGTCATAGAGAAAGTTTCCAAAATATAAGCGGTAATGTAATTAAAAATATTTTTGGTAGATACAATTCGTCTAGTGTTTATAGTAGGGTAGGTTCCTACCCTACTAACTTTTTCTGTGGGTAAAAGGCACATAGGGATAATTCAAAAAAAATAAATTTTTTAGCAGTGCCTTTAACGTGTTCGCAAAAATTTAGGAAATAAATTTATGGTTAGCGGGTATACCCTTTTGCCAGCACATGTCCTATGCTAGCAAAAGGGTATACTCGCTAACCATAAATATATTTCCTGAATTAATGCGAACACGTTTAAGTCTCTAACGAAAAATTGCTTTTTTTGACTTATCCCCTTATGTCTTTTACCCACAGTTTTATAGCCGTCAAAAATAAGGTTCTGGAAGGCCCTTAAAATGGGCATTGGTTTCAGAAATGACCTCCTTGTTTGACATATATCTTTTTCCTATCGATCCATACCCCCTCATGTTTGAATATAGAAAAAAGTCACTAAGGGACAAATCTAGAGAATACAGTGGATGCAGCAACAAATTAAAGCGCGTCCCATTTTATGTGCAAAATTAAAACCAAAGAGCCATGTGGCCTATTGACTTATTGACCTACCTTGTAGCATAATTGTAAGTCAAAAACATCAATGTTGCTAAATATTTTATAAAACTACTTTACTTACTGGAATAATCACAGAAGCACTGGACGTCGGCAATAACTGTGACAAAATAGTCTTTACAGTTTTTTTATCAGAATCCTTTTTAACATCAACTTGTTCTTCATTAAAACCCAACAAAGTACCATCAGAATGTGTCCTCAACAATTTTTTATTATTTTCATTTTCCTCTAATACGCATTCTATAGCATCCTGTATGTTTTCCACAATTGATTCACTGTCGCTGATATTAGTAAGCTTTTCTTCCAAGGCTGTGGAACTTTCAAACTCAGAACTGATCGATTTTTCCCGTTTTTTATCGGTCTCTTTCCTGCGAGTTGCCTCCATCAGTCTCACGTTCCAGGAATCTACAGTTTCGACTATGAGCCTTTTTATTTTTGTCAGGGTGTCGAGAATGCTCCAGTGAGGAATATGAAGATCTAAAAGATACTTATAAAAAAATGATTTCACAAAATAAATTCGATACCTTTTTCGGTAAATTTCTTATTCTCGATGGTAGGAGATGTCAATTTCAATTGGACCTCCTCCACAACCTGTTTAAAATGACTTTGATCCTTCAAAATAAGTTGTTTAAAGTTGGTCATTGTTTCTGCATCGTCTGAGAAGATTGAGGAAAGTTTGTCCAGGATCATGGAAAAAATTTCATGACCCTTTTGAGCCGACATTTTAACTTCGTCTATAAGTTCGTTATGAAGTTTATCGATGTTGTAATTTATAGATATGATCGGAGATGGCAGTGATATTTCCCAAATATTAACGGAAGTATATCTAAAAATACGCCATACACAAAAAATATTATTCAATAGCAATACTTACTTGAACGAAGCGACATAGTTTTTGTACCCGAAATAATGGTAATGATCATGATGCAAACTGTGTAAACACGGGTACTGTCCCCTTCTGCTATAAATATCTCCATGAAACCTGAGCTCCAAATATTTAGCAAACGAGTACGACCACGTATCCGCCGACATTGGAACTACAGGTGACACACTTTGGCATTTTGTACACCAAGACCACATTACTATGCTGTCTTCTTCGAATTCGTTGTCAAAATTGTTTAAAGATATACTAACACAACCTAGGGAAAAAAGTTGTAAGTATGTATGTATATGGGTGACTTTACAAAAGTTGGGCAACTTTTGACCGCATTTTGTTTATATAGTTTTCAGAGAAAATTAAACAGTATTTTGTTATGAGAACATAAATAATATAATAAATATACTGTTCCAGACCGGGCCAGTCACTTTTTCAAACAGTTTCTGAAATATCTGTCTTTTCTAAATTTGAATGCAAGGGAAGTGACGAGTATACCAGGGTACAAATTAAATACATAATTTATTGGAAAATATAAAATTTATTGAAACTTTGAGCATATTATACATTTAATATCGTGAAATCAAATAATACCACACATCAGTGGCGGCTGGTGGATTTTGGGTATACCGATATCTCAATTATTAGATATGAGACCCACACCAAATTTATATGAGTTCATAATGACAATAAATAAACAAGTTCTGCGCAAGCAGAATTTAAATTGAAGTTTGCGAAAAAAAGATATCCGAAACATCGAACATGGAACTGACGACATGGAACTGACGAAACGGATACAAATTTGAGATTATAATTCGGAATTAAGTATTTTACTGATATTTTTATTAGTGGATGCTACTTATCAACAAATCACATGTAGCCTTATATAAATTACAATGAAATATATATACGTAAGAAAATAACTACTCACCACAGTACTGACATTTTGACTGGAACTATACGTGCATTCACCACAACTTCGCCGCTTGCATTGTTTTCAAGATGACTGTCGTACAAAGGGCGGGCTCTGTAGGTAATTTTTTACCAACACTTGAGTTAAAACGAGGACTTGACGTTTAAACTTCAATATTTCGCAGGAATTTTGAATTTAAACATTGGACACGGAACTGACGGGTAAAAGTGAGTACAAAGATTATCAATTTTCAAAATCAAAATTGCTATTATTCGAATCTATGATAAAATATGAAAAATACATTATTTAATGTTTTATAGTTTGTAGTGAAATTAAAAAATTTAAGATAAATTGAATATATTTTAAAATAAAATCACTCAAATATTTGATTCAGGAGTTGTGACACGCCGAGGTACTGATGTTTTGAATATTTTCTACAAACGTGCTTTTGAAAAAATACATTAAAATTGGGTGGACAAGTTAAAAAAACCTGGATCTTTTGTAATATACTAAAATATTTACAAAAAATAATAAAATACCTACTCTATTGACTGATGATATCAATTTGTCCAACTTTTGTAGAATCACCCATATAAAAAGTATTTTTACCTGAATTATGAACAAAACGCCTGACATGTTTATCCATGGGCGTTTCACAAGTGGTGGAAGGACACATATAGGTAGAACGAAAACAATAACGTTCCAAAAAACAACCTAATGGGATATCATTTCTAGCATAAAAATCCATATACACAACCCTACAAATATTCATACAAATAAATATACTTTTTGATTTATTTATTCATTTACCAAGGATTAACACAAAACGCAGGAGAATTTCTGGATTCTTTGCTGTAACTACAGAACAGTACTGCCAGCCTTTGGTGATTTAACGGACTAAGAACATCAAGTCTGTCAATGTCAATCACCTTCAACACTCCTTTTGATTCGGTTTTGTTTGGTTTTTCTTTGATAAACTCGCGTTTTTTGTAGTTTCCACCGCATGCTCTGAAATTGGCGAGCAAATTTTGCACGTTGGTGTCTTCCACGCTTGTAGTAATTTTTGCCGTCAGAAATGGATGCAAAGGTTTCTATAATAAAATATGCACAATTTCAAAAACTGGTCGATTATTTTTTGGTCCTTAAGGACGTGGGATCACTATCCTTACCTTTCAATAGTGATGTACTTAAACAAAGAGGTTTGTTTTTCAGAAACATTATTTTTTTCTTAATGGACCGGCAAATATTATTGTAAATTGTAATATCAAAGCGATCTGTTACTTATTATATTATTCGTAAGAAAAGGGTATTCCCCGGAAATCAGAGGCGGCTGGTGGATTTTGGGTATACCGATATCTCCATTATTAGATATGAGACCCACACCAAATTTATATAAGTTTATAATGACATTAAATATACAAGTTCTGCGCAAGCAGAATTTAAATTGAAGTTTTCGAAAAAAATATAACTTTTTGCTCGGCAGTACCGGCCCCATGGCGCCCTTAATAAATATAATATAAATTTAATTGGTGCAATTTATTATTTACCATAGTTTATCGACAAATTTAAAATTTCATTTAAAAAATCCAAACTATACAGATTTTATACCATTTTAAATTTTTATTATTTATTTTCAAAGAAATAATAAAAATTTAAAATGATATAAAATATGTATGATTTGGATTTTTTTAATAAAATTTAAAATTTGCCGATAAGCTATAGTAAATAATAAATTGCACCAATTAAATTTATATTATATTTATTGGGGGCGCCATGGATCCAGTACGGCCAACCAAAAAGTTATCTTTTTTTCGCAAGCTTCAATTTAAATTCTGCTTGCGGAGAACTTGTTTATTTAATGTCATTATAAACCCATATAAATTTGGTTTGGGTCCCATATCTAATAATTGAGATATCGGTATACCCAAAATCCACCAGCCGCTTTTTAGTGCGTTTTAAATTCATATCGTGGAAGAAAACATTGCTTTGCTGACAACGCAAGCACAAAATCTTGTATGTTCAAAAAGTTAACAGTACTAAAAACTAAAACTGTGCAGCCAAGCTGTCAAACGATGATTTCTAATAGAAATATACAATGTTTCTTGTATGTTTGTCCAATCTTGCTATTATAGTATCTTTGGGACACTCTAGATGGCCACACTTGTCCTTGTCATAAATTGTTTTGTTTATTTTTTTTATAAAAAACAAAAAAGGCTTTTTTAATTATTATGAATAGATATATTTATATAAATAAATTTTATTATCATTTTATATTGCATGTCTGAAAATTGTCTTTTCTTTCCATCCAATAAAACAGAAACACCTGAAGTTTTAGATTAAGAATAGCTTTAAGTCGTTTTTTCGCGTAAATACTATGTAATACTACGGTTAAATAAGTCATGACGTCACAGTTAATTCATATAACCATGGTTAAGTTTCTAACATTTGACATTTGTTTACTTGTTCATAACCTATAATTTTTGAAATGTGTTTTTACCTATTTATATTTAATTTCTATGCTTTTACCCGTGTATATAAATTTCTTTGCCTCTTCTTATACCTAGTATATTCTTTTTCTATACTAGTTTTTTCAATACTTACACGTTATCCAATTCTCCTACATGTTTAATACAAAATAAGGAAGAATATAAAACAAACCTGCATATAATTCCTCCACTTCTTGTGGAGATTCCACAATATGGAGCACCCTATAATTTATTTTCACTGACAACACCCCGTTTACCATTTTAATTCAAAGTTTAAATTCGGTTTAAGAGCAATTTTACCCAAAGATTATATTATTATCTTTGATTGTACCTACTTAAAATATTTTAAATTACTTTTTGACGTCAAATGTAAACAACTTTTTGACAGATCGAAACAGAGAAAAATATATATTAAAAAGAGAAAGACTATTAACCACGTTGAATAACTATAGCTCAGCGATATAGGTTTATGGTCTGGTATTTGTGACGTCATAGTTAGGATTTTTGAACGCACTCTAAACGCAAAAATGCCTTAACTTTTAACCAAGGTTAAGTTTAATAACCATAGGGCCGGTTTTTCAATCGCTGGTTAACTTTATCTTACGGTTAATTTCCTTAGATACTATTGTTAACACAATAGTACTATACGTATCTAATAAAGTTAACCGTAAGTTAAACTTAACCAACGATTGAAAAACCGGCACTTAGTATTTCATGGTATTTACGCGAAAAAACGACTTTAATCCAAAAATAATCGAAAATTAGTACGAACTCTAGTTCCTTTTAAACAGTTTTACAAGGATTCTGAATATGTTTAAGACATCTAATGACTTATTATTTTAAAACTGCGCATTCTTGGGCCACTTACCTTTTTCTCAGCTGTTGAAATGTTTTTGGAAACCACTTCAGTTTCCTCCTTCCATTTGCTTTTTCTATCATTATTATCATTAAACTGCTCGCTAAAATAAATTTCTGTGGGAAAAAATCTTCTTAAACTGCACTTCTTACCAACTTCTGTTTCCAGGTAAGGAATGGGAAAAAGGGTGTAGGGAGAAATGCATAAAATAGTGTCATCCAAAGCTTTGCGAAAATTATTGGAAAAGGGCAATTCCGCAACAGAAAATTGTTCCGTCGTTTTTTGCGATTCTGAATTGTCGTAAGTGGAATGTAGAGGATCGGTAAAATCTTTTATTTCTTCGGACAAAATCTTTTTGCCTTCGTGTTCAATTTTTTCACCCTTTACCGGGGTCGACTCCGACAATTTGACGTCGAGTGCAATCGGTTTGGCATCAGGTAATTTCGGTGAATTTTCCTTGCTATCATCCAAAAATTCGCACTTTGTGTTTGGAGGTTGCGCGAACTCGTCCATTAGAAAAGATTTTTCCAAGCGCCAGTTGTACGCAGTGAAAAGCATGAAGGAGGCAACTTTTTCAAGCCTTGATAAAACCGACCTCGAGGCGCCTCGTAACAAAACCGTACCACCCAAATGCGGCAAAGGTAAACCATCGAAAAACATTAGAGTTTTAGGCGGTCCATTTTCGACCTCGAATTTTTTCACATAGAATTTCTTACACGTCCCCAATCTAGGTCTGCCTATGTGTGCGTCCACTGCGGTTACTAAATCTGCATCGGTACACCTCGACAATCTTTCCATTACTGTTTGCTTTACATTATGAACAAGCACAATCTTGCACTGTCTCAGTAAATCTTGTGCTAGCCTGGACACGTTTCGTTGCACGAGGACTATGTCTGGTTGTAGCGCCGCAATACGCGCCACAACATGTCGCAAATATTCGTGTTCCTGCATCAAAACTGGTTCTAGAGACATTAACCTGCCTTCGTTTCTCTGATAGACGATAGCACATTGCAATAGTAGTATTTTCGGGTTTTCTATTTCGGTTGACATTTCCCTGTGGGCAACATTTTTCGTAAAAACTATTCCCCTTAATAAAATAGTGTCAGAACGTGCACCACCCGGTAGTTTTTTAAACTGAATGTACAGCCTTATGTCCAAATCTATTGCATCATGATTTTTATCTAAAGTATACACATTTTAGTAAATAAACCAATCATAAAACAAGACTTTTACCTGGTCGAATGTTATTAACAATATCTGGCAACAATGTTAGTATAACTTCACACCAAGACAGAGAGACCCCCATTGACACTAGCAATTGTTTTAGCAAATTTTGCTTGTGCAGTTCGTATGTTTCCGTTAAAAGATTGTATGCGTATTTTTCACCATTTTCCTCTCTTAATGTTGGGGTATTATGCCAACCTAGTATTTTAATATACAGTAAATATATTAACTCATACACAAAAATATTACCTGACTCTGGAACCATTTCTCGCTGTTCAGGTCTAACTTCTATCGTTTCTTTACTGCTTTCAGAAACACTCGTAGTCAAATCGGGTGGGTTCGTTTCCAAGGGCGATTCTTCCAAAGGACACGAAAGATAAACAGTGTTGGCCCCCACGTTTAGGTCTAGCATAAAAGAAGAGGATGCAGTTAATTTAGAAACCCTATGTCCAGGTGATACATGCTCATTTTCGGAATCTAAAAATATTATAATTAGATTAATTGAAATTTCAATTTAAACGCTTGTAAAACAAATATATCTACCTGTGGTGCTTGATTCATGAGGTATCTGCTGAACCCAAATGGGTTCATCTTGAAAAGGCGCGATTAAATTGTTGATTTTGTCTAAGACATTTAACGATAAAAGGTTTCCATATTTATATAAAGCATAACCATCCAAAAATGTGCAATGTTCAGATATACATTCAATATAACCTCCTTCCAAAAGGGCCTGTGATATTGTTGATGCCTGAATCCTAAACCAATAGTGTATTTTATTAGGAGTCGAGATAAAAGGCTTTTTCTGTGCGAGTGTGAGCGGAAATTTTGCAACCATAGAAAAAGCATTTAGTCTGTTTTGAGGCAGGGAAATGGCTTATAACAGTATCAGGGCAGGGAACTGTTGTCTAGCAAACACTTTCCGGATAGTTAAACGTAAATTATATTAACAAATTTACAATGAAATGTTTGGTATATTTTAATATAATAAGTGTGTACATTCAAAAGGAAAAAATATTGTACAGCACAGAAAATAATGACCTTTTTAGACAGTCTGTCTATGATCTAAGTAGACATTAAAAATAGTACCTACCTATTTCCAAAAAATGTTTTTTTCTGTACTGTACAGAAAAAGGATACGCTGTTCAGTCCCAAAAAAACATAACCTGTAGATTATGTAATAGATTATATAATAGATTGATTGATTGAAAAAATGTTTATTGTATTAAAGAAAATGTCACAAAATTAACATGTTCCAAGATACCCCACAGTTCCAAATAACCCCACTCTACGGTACCTATTTCCAAAAAAATGTTTTTTTCTGTACTGTACAGAAAAACAGCGCCGGATTTAGGGGGGGTCTTTGGGGGTCTATAGACCCGGGGCGCAAGCTTACAGGGGGCGCAAAATTTTTGACTGGTAATTTTTGTTTTTTACTACAACCTAAAGGGTTTTCCCCTTTTTTTATTTTTCGTGTATTAATCAGTTTTAATAAAAAAATTATTTAAATTATAACCGTGATTGTTGCCATAGTATTATTATCTATGCATAGTATACGAAATATGTCATGTCACGTATTATGTAGGGCACCCGACAAGAACTTTAGTTTGCAGAAATTGATTATTTCCACCGATGTGATGCGTATGGGCGTAAAGGTTTTTTAATATAAGAATATTTTATTACACTACGAACAACTATTAATTTAAATTAGTTTAAAACTATAGTTATATACAGTACCAGTCATATATATGTATGTATATATACAGTATAGGTATTAGCCTATTGAAAGATGACGTCAATATTGCGATAAACAAATTTGCTTCTCTAAAAGCACGCAAAGTTGAGTTGGCAAAATGTTAATTTTCTTATTTAGTTATTCGTTTTTTATATAGTTTTTGTTTATGTTTTTAGGGTGGCAATATTTTTTCGACATTTTTTTTTATTTCTGAGCTCACATGAAACAATTTAAGTTTAAAGTATTCAAGTTTCAACTTAAAAAAAAATAAACGTCGCTCAAAAAAATTGGAAAAATAGTAGTGTTTACAAGATCAAAATTATTAAAAAAATCAAGAAATGTATTTCAAAAATATTGAGCGACCAATAATATTTTAACTTAAAAATGTATTCTGTTCCTATACGACCTACAAAAAAAATAGTGAGAAGCCAAAGATTTTGAGAAAAAAGGTTGGTTTAAAAAAGTTTTGAGCGACGTCTAAATTTTTTTTATCTGTTGAAACTCAAATACTTTAGACTTATTTTTTTTATCTCCAAAATCAAAAAAAATTCGAAAAAATACTACAACCCTAATGTTTATGGTTAAATAAAATCCTTTTGTTAAAAAGTGACATTTATTTGAATTTATTATATAGGTAGGGGCGAAAAATTTTTATTAGACCCGGGGCGCAAATTTTTATAATCCGGCGCTGCAGAAAAAGGATACGCTGTTCAGTCCCAAAAAAACATAACCTGTAGATTATGTAATATATTATATAATAGATTGATTAATTTAAAAATGATTTCCAAAATAAGTGCAAATAGCCATTTGCCATATATAAATGAAAAAATGTATTATATGGTAAACTCGTAAAAAATTATGTAAGATTGAAAAAAGTATATTGTAACAAAAAGTATGTGGGAAGATAGTGTAGCATGAATGAATAAGTCAAAAAAAAATTTAAAGAATAAATCGTGTTAAAATAATGTAATGTACACACCTGTGATGATAAAATAAATGGAAATGTGTTTGGAAAAAAGTGAAGAAAAAAATGGTCATATAAAATAATATATCATAAAATAAAGTGATAGTGATAGGTACATAATAAACATAAATTAATATTAAAATAAACTATAAACAATAAGAATATATACAAATAATTCATTGTTATCTGAGTCAATATCTTAAAATACAATTTAATATATTTTACCTTGTTTTTGCTTTTTGTTGAAATATTAGCCAATCCACCAATTCTGAACCCAAAAAACAATTATAATAGTTCCTTAATCTATACCTGTGGGTTTTAAGAGGTACCCCAGTATTAGATTTACAAATATCTTCATATAAATTACGAAGTGATGTTGAGTTTTGCAATGCCCTAATCTTTTCCTCTGCTGTTATATAAGAAACAGAACTGAAATCAATAATTTATAAGCAAAAGAACATTTTCAATCCTTTGTTTACCTTTCTGAAGCAAATTTTTCTTCCTGATAACCAACTGATATCTTTCTTTTTATACTAACCCCTTCATTTGGATTTAAATTTGAATTTTTTGTAACAGATTCTTGTCTAGATATTGGTGATAAACTATCACCAAATTTAGTCTGCAAATTCTCCTGTAAAATTCTTAAATCTGCTGTTAAATCAGCACCAACATCGGATGATTGAAGATATGAAAGTACCACTTTACAGCAATATGTACAAACTCTTAAATCTCCAGTACAACCTATAATTTTTCCAGGTATCTGTTGATTACAACATTGTGAACAAAAGATCTGTCCACAAACACGGCAATGATGTCTTCTTTTAAATGTTGTAAATCTCTCACAACATTCGTAACATTCTTTGCTGACAGAATCTGGCATCCAGTACTGTTTTAGCTCTGTTTCACCATAATTTTGCAAGCTCTGTAAGTTAACATATTAACAAAATAAAACTTAAAACTAAAAATAACTTACTGTGGTCTTTAACGCAATTAAATTGCTTATTCGTTTCAACACATTGGGTAAACTTCGACCTTCATTAAAATCTACAGGATAAACATTTTGTGCATTGTCAGGATCAACATGCTTTGCCTCCAAGGCGGAATCGACAACCCAATTAGGCAGTTTTTCGCCATTAACTTCAGTCTCCCCTTCATTAGGTTTTTCAGCAGTTTTGCCTAAATTAAAAAACTTGGAAATATATTGTCCAACAGTTTGTGGTTTTTCCTCAACTTGCAAGGGTGCAAATTCCGTTAGTTTTGTTGGAGATTGAAGATTTGTACTCATTTTTATTTGCAAATTTTTATAACATTATACCCTCGATTATCCCTAAGGTAAATTAGGTGTATGTATCTTGTAAATTAAAGAACTTGAGAAGAAAAACAAAAACATATGATTTTGACAGATGTCAACCTCAAATTTCTTGATAAGGATTATTTCTCTAAAAATTTCAAAATTTGTTATTTTATGTAAAATTTCCATTTAGCAATATTTTTTAAATATATTTTTGCATGTTTTTTTTATTATTTATTAATAACATTAAAGAATACAAATATTTATGTAATGACAGTTGCCTATAGTATGGCATCATCTATTTTGTGTCGGGGTTTTCCATAGAAATAATACTAAATGCATTATTTCTATGGGGTTTTCCGATCTGTTAAGCCTGATTTAAAGGTTGCCTTCCTTCCTTCTTCCCGTAGAAGATAAACAATATAATCCCGTACGGGAATCTATAAACGGCAGTACGGTTTTCGTATTGTTCATCTTTTACGGGAGGAAGGGAGGAAAGAAGGAAGACAAATTATAAATCAGACTTAAGTCAATGGTATAACGCTACATGATTGGTCAAGATAAATACCTATTCATAGTAATAATTAGTTGTATACAATTGTATTATTTCCATGCCCTATTAAAAAAAGATAATTTAAATCGAACAATCGATGGCATCTCAAAGTCCCCCAATTAACAATTAATCACAACGTTTGGCAACCCGGCTGTCGATCCTCAGTTGTTGCAACAATGTTGCCAACTTTTTACTAGTAATATTTTGTTCTTTGGTGTTCTTTGATGTGACATTTCTGTCAGATTTGTTAACGTAATGGGATGGTTTGTAAATAGACTCGAAATTTTATGTTTTATTGTGCGCTCCTAAAGTTTTGTGTTACTCAAGTGGACAGTTAGTTTTCTACGGTGTTTAGTTTAATATGACTGAGTTAATAGTGTCTCGAGGCGACACTTTTCCAAGATCCTATTTAGATACCTACAGAGCAAATAGATCCAGTGAACTTTACAACGAATTATCTTCAAGCAAAAGTGACGAATTGGTACTGCAAACGCCAAGTGATATTCCGGTTGCAAAAGAATTGCAACATGGACATTCAGAGAATTTGTTAGACTCAAATACTGGAAGTTCTACAGGCTACAACGATTTAGAATACATGCAAACATCTCCAATTGTCTTGCCAAAAATTTTGAGGAAAGTGCCCCTCTACGACAAAGTCGACCCCGAGGACAGCATTAGGGATATCATCACCGAAAATGACTTCTACAGGTAAATGGATAATTTTTTTACCAGGCAATTTAAGACAATGTCCCTCTAGAAATGTTTTGCTTATTAGCAAATAAAAAAAAATAAACAACATAGGTATTACAATGTGCTCACATTAAAAAAAACAAATACCTACATTAATAAAAAATAAGTGGTTACATTTTTAACTTAAAGTTAATCTATCTAAAATATTGTACAAAACTATAATATTGTTTTTACAATCTTTTGTGCCACTTCTTTTCTCTTGTACTATTTACTTTAGTCAAACTTGTTATCAGTGTAATAACTTTTGTCTCTTCAATGGCCATATTTCCTAAAATATCTAAAGTACTACTGCTTCTGGAAAGTATGACAACAAACAAATGAAATCTGTTCCAAGGTTTTTAATTACTAATTACAACCTACGACTATATTTTACCGCTTTTTATAAATATTAATGAGGTGGTTAACATTTAAAAAATCCACCATAATAAACAATAAAATTTATAAAAGATGAGCATAGAAATGTAAATTTTATAATTCTTCGATATTAAAATCTTTTTTTAAACCAAAAATTCTTTTCTTTATATAAACACTACTATTGTAGAGTTTATAAATTAATTAAACTTGTTATATTAATTAGAAAAAGTTTCCTAACAGATATTTGTGCTCCTACCTACCTACCCAATAATAAAATTCTGTAATTTAATTAATAGAAATTAGGTCTTAAACTCTTCAACCAGGCAATGCACGGAATATTTTTTTTTAATAATGTTTATATTTTTACATTTAGACCAAACCCAAATTTATTCAGTCTTCTTCAGTGAATATTAAAAATGATTTAGTAGTTAAGCCACATAAATTGTGGTCTAATTTTAAATTCGCCATTTAAATTACATTAAACTTGGGCTGACTGTAAGTTAAATAATGTTATATTAAATAAAATGAAATGTACTCACTTAAATTAAATAATATTACAACAATAAAAAGGTGCTAAATATAAACGCAATCTATTTTTCGCCATGATTCATAAATATGGAAATTCAATGGAAACCTTCTTGAATAATACAACCTATGTATACATATGTTAATTGTTTATCAAGTTCCTATAACATTACTTATAACATTACTTATTAGTAATTTCTTAAAAATACTACGAAATTGTTTATCAATACTATTGATTCAATATTTAAACTTTTTTACTTAATTGGACCTGTTTTAAATTTGAATGTGATATAAAAACATAAACATTAACTCGAGTGACGTTATTTATTGTGTAGGTGACTACCTAAAATTTAAATTTGTTAAGAAGAATAAACTAAATATACTTTTTGTGAGAACATTCAGTTTTTGTGGCCAATTTTTATATCTAGTTAACTGTTAACTAAATTTGCATGTTTTATGATCTAAAATGTTGTGCATTGTTCTTGGCATTGTTTGATATTACCCAAAGATATTGAAAGTTATAATTTGAATGCCATAAACACATGACGTTGTTGTTCACACAGTTAAGGCTTTCTAATTTGAATAATAATAAAAGAACATTCAAAAACGGACTATAAATCAAATATGTCACAAAAATACTTATATGGCCGTGCTTTTCGAAAATCAACATAGATGCGTGATGTGCAATACCTTAATACTTTGGTTTCCTATTTTCTCTACGGTAAATTATTAATAACCGCCTATTTACGGTTGGGCCACCGCGCAATTTAAACGATTTAATTTTTTTTATTTATTTATGTTTTTATCATAATGCATATTGATTCTGCTGTGTAATAATATGTTATAATTTAATATAAATTTACGGTAACACTTTATTTTTAAAATTACCTTTAAATCGACATTTGACAGCCCTGATAGAATAAGGTTTATTTTTTACAAAAGAGGAGTAAAATGATTGTTCTTACCACTTTGAGGTCTCTTTTAAGGCTTCCAAGTCTCTCTGTAAGAAACATAACGTTTAAAACGATTATTAATCTTTACAAACCCAAAGCACAAGAATTGTAAACAACAAAAATGGCCGCCATTGAATGATGTGCAGTGTTGCAGTGATTTTTAGTATTTTTAGTACGAAATCGAACAGACCTTGTTGTGTGGATTGTGGATATTATTATGTTTTTAAATATACCTATCAAGATTTTTTTTATTTTTCAATATTTTTCACTACCTATATTTCTTTGTATACCTACTCGAAACGATAGTAAACACATTTAAAGATGTTATAAAATGCATGACCTTAATATTTTTATGGGTAAAATTATAAAAACCAGTTGTAAATAGCTTAACTTACCATTAAAAAAACTAAGTCATGTTTTCTAAAACTTGCCAATTAAAGGCTGATGCCCAGTTCTGCAATAAAAATTGTATAATTTTAATTCTAGTTTAGTAGGTATATTTAAGTTTATAATAACTGGCTGTTAAAGAAAAATAGTAATTACACTTGAAATAGTTATAAATGTCATCAAGGCTGATAAGTGAGTATTTTGTGCTAAGCTGAGTTTGAGCAAAACACAAAAAGATAGTTCTCAGCTAAATGGCATACATTATTTTATCTTTAAGGCACAAAAGTACAATAATAATAATAATTATTAAAAGTATAAAGCGAGGTTAGGTAGGTCTGACAGTTATAGCATTTTTTGATTGGTCCAAACGAGTTTTGTTCAGCCTAGGAGCATGTGCGCCAGTAGAAAATAATCCAGAAGGGGAAAAAATTACGTGCAATTTCAAGTATCTATAGATACTTATATACAGGGTTTACCAAGTATCCTATGTATACTTCAATTCAATTTTTTTGTATTTGAAGGGTTACAAGGTCGGTTAAATTATAAAAAAAATTGCGTACCTAATTACAAGCCTATTAAATTTAATTTATAAATTAAAAAAACAGCGTTTCTCAAAAAAAACTATAAACCTTTCAAAAATAGTTTTTTTATAACTTCGTTATTCCTGTAAATTTTGACAAAAAGTAAGTTTTGTTCATTTATCTACATTTTCGTCCAATTACTTAATTTTGGGTGATGGTACCCTCTTTTGTTTTTATACTGGCCGCCAACTTATGTAGTATGTAAAACTCTATAAGAAAAACAGAAGATGGTAGGCGAAAAAAATCACTAATTGTTTAAAAATGTGGATAAAGGTGTGCATACTTTGAAATTTGAATTAAAGAAATAGTTTATATTATTTAAAATGGTGTTTTTGGAGATGTAACTTTATTAATTTGGTCAATCTAGCAATTTCTATTTCCTACAAGTATTACAAATATCATCGAGCTTGTATTGCAAAGAAATTAAATGTAATAAAATCCCCTTAAACGTAAAGAGAAACCATTCTTATTATAAAATTTTCCAGCATTTATCCAACTATCTACATCTACCTAATAGGTATATAAATTAAAATGTACATAAACCTACTTGGCATAACATTTCCCACATTACGCCATTATTATAAAAAAATATAAGATTTAATTAAACAATAATTATTACCGATTGCATGGATCAAAAACCACGTAGTTAACATTGTTTTTAACAAGGTCGCTAAATTTTTTAAAATTTCTTGCCTACAGTCTGAATAACAAAAACAATATCAATGAAGACTTGGTAATTAGCGTACAATAAATTAATGTTTTGTTGTTTAAATTTTGGTCTACGTTTTAACAAAAGGATGTCTTTTGTCCACATGAGATGTTTATAAATAAACAAACATTTAATACAAATAATTTAACATTGTTTGTTGACAATTTGTAGTTAAATCTATAAAATTTTGAGTTTACTTTTTATATACAAAAAAATTATGAGGACAATAACTTAATTAAGTAAATTGTGCTACTAGTGGGAGAAAGAGGAGATTCCTCAAGTTTGCCGCGGTAACAAAGTCGCACACAATATTTTATTCAACTACCGCAAGGATTGTCAGACAGATTTAACATCACTTTTTTCAATTGTGGTGTTTTATGTTTGTATTGTTTTGAGACGTTTTTTTTTACAAATACAACCAAAAATGGTGAAATATTACCAAGATGATAACTTTGATGAATTACCCATTAAAGAAGCCTGTTCCTTACGTAAACAAGTATGTAATCATTTACATCATTTCTAATATTAATGTTAAAACATATTTTGGATATGCAACCTTGAAAACCACGTTGTGCCTGAAGCCATTGACTTTCCTTCAGCAAAATTATATATTTCATCTTGAGTCTAGTAAAGCAAATATTTTGCATTTATTAAAATTTGTTTTGCATTAATGAATAATATGCCGTAAGATAGTATCTAAATTTGTTAAGAAATAAAAAATTCTCATGAGAAAAACAACATGCGTACTTCTATAATTAACTTTTTAAGGTAAATATGCTAAGGGGTGAATTACTAGGTTCCACTATAACGACTGAATTATTAAATGTAGCTCTGTAGGTAAAGGTCATGTCATGGACAAGTTTAAATTAATAATTTATAATATGTACCTATAGGTATACTTAAAGATTTGTGACCACCGAGTTTTATACCAACCATGAATAAATTTATTGATGATGTCAAAATACGCCTGTAACTGTATTATTAATCATCTTATGTTAATTTATATGTAGGTAAAATGAATGGATAATTACATTGCATTATAAAAATAAATTACTATTGTATTATAAAAAAAGCGCTTTTTTTATAAAAAAAACTTGTATTTACAAAAGGTTTAATTAGGGAAAAACGAAAAATGCAAGAGGAAAATTTTGTTTAAAATAAAAAGCATATTTTAAAAATAAATAAAAATCTTTTTTTAGTGGCGTACCATATTTTTCTTTGCCTTTACCTTGCGGCAAATTTATGCAAAGTAATCTGTAACTATTTTTTTTTTAAATTTTTTACTTCCTGTAACTTGTAAACCATGATAAAGCATAACTTTATAAAACTATTATTTTTTACCAAGGAATCCACCAACCCATTAAATGGATAAATTTTGTCCCAACCTTTAAATTGGACCCTGTATAAAAAAAACAAAAATTTATAAAAGATATCTGAATTTTCTGTTTT